GAGAGATGGGGCGATAAGATCCTTTCTTTCCCGGTTTAGGGATAAAAACGACAAAATAATTTTTCCATTGTTTAGGAAACGTTTGTTTGTCCAGCATTATGTTAAATAGCTTGTGGACAATTAGATGAAGTTTATTAGGGAAATGTGATATGACATTATTGGAGATCATATCTGGACCAGGTGCGGATTTGATCTTTAAAGACTCGACCGCCGAGAGGTATTCCACGTCCCTAATGGGAGACTCGAGAACAGAACTGTCTACTGTACTCTCCAACCTAGGGATATTATAAGGTAGGTCTGAATGGAAATTTGTAATGGGTGGTTGGAGAGGAGCGATTTTATCGAATGATTTATGGAAACCTTCGATGTCAATGTTGCTTTTATTGCTGTCACCGCGTGAATAATTTCTGGAGTGCGAAAAGGCTTTAACTGTGTTCCATACAGAACCAATGTCCGAATGAACATGGAGTGAACCACAAAACGCCTTAAACGCGTCTTTTTTCTTTTTGCGGAGAAAGTGAGTAATTTCCTTTGAGATTTCCGTATACACAGATAGGTTCTGAAGGCAGGGATGCTTTTTGAAAGAAGTAAATGCCTCTCTTTTCCTTTTAACTTCCTGGGAGCATGACTCATCCCACCAGGGTGTCGGGGGCTTCCGAGATTAGCTGACGAGATGACCTTAGCGCCGGAGTTCTCGAGGGCAGCAACAATTGACTGGATAAGATGATCATACGTTTCTTCTACGCTTATAACGGAGACCGGCCTATCAACTTCAGGTGCAAGAGTTTGTGCAATATCCACACAAGCCCGACGGAAGAGATTCCAATCTACATTCTTGACAGATATAAACGGGCGGCATGGTATAGTGCCGTCAAACCTATCATAGATTGCGATGTAAACAGGAAAGTGGTCACTACCGTGGTTAAAGTCGTCCACATACCACCTGCAGTCAAGAGCTAAGCTCTGAGAGACAAGTGTAAGATCCAGGGTGGACTCCCAGACGGCACATGATATCATTTGATTGTAGAATGATATCGTTTCTACGTCATTTTCGTGATATCATGTGATATCACATCCCTGAAATATCACACAGATATTCTTCTAAGAATATTAGTACTGTTTTCTTTCAA